AATTCAACATTTATAAATAGCAGATGCTGTTGTTATTTTTAATTTCATAAAATATTTCGTTTATTTAACTATACCCGGGTCACAAGTCCCAGGAACTGCTCGAAGTTTCTCTCTCTGCCACACGATAGACCCGGCACCCACACGGTGGAATGCTAAGTTCGTATCACATATATATTTTGACTTGGCAACAGCATTATATATAGACAACTCTAATGTCAATGCCACTAAATCTGAATAGCTAGTCATAAACAGTTTCAAAAGCAATACCTACGCATTTAGTCACCCATTATTTCTTTGTATTACCAAGTTGTATGTAAGCGATAAGACCGTCCTTCTTAAGCACATTTATGGCGTATTCTTTTGCTTTATCAGTAAGCAATAGTTTTTGTAGCATTCTTTTTTTATGCAACCTATCCAAGTAAACAGAATACGAGTATATACATTAATCTTACTTGAAGAAAACCCTCATAGAGCCCTCCTCGGGGGAGGCGAGCGGGTTCTAAAAGACTCACTAAAAACTTCAAAATGTCCCTCGTCCAACGCCATTTACCGCCACGAGTATGTAACCAAAGTAACTAGTATGCGGCTTGTGAGTTCGCCAACACAATGCCCCAGATTTCAATCACGTGCTGGTACGTTACCAAACCAGTACAAACTGACCTCGACAGCTTCCTTCTACCGAGACGCATACATTTTTATAGTGAATGCAAATTTTGGCATACTTCAAAGGTCAAAATGATTTTAAAACCTAATTAGTTGTCAAAGTGTAATTGTTTTGTTTATGCTAAAATGAATTTCTTTATGCAATTGGAATGGCTGGCAAGTTGAACGAACTGATGGTACATGGTAACCGTCTCCTATATACATAAACAGCATGACGAACAACACGTTATCATGATACCGATCCTGCGTTGCTAATCCAGAGGATGCCTCATGTCCTGTAATTTCAGTGTGATTTTATCAAATTTCTCCGTTTAATAACAATAATAATCGATTAAAAATGCTAAATTTGAGAAATTTAAATGTAAAACGCATAGTTGATTAATTATTACATAAATATGTATTTTATAGTTGACCATAAATGATAGGCAATTTAAATTAATAAAAAAAAATACAAAATGGCGGTAATGACGCCCTGCTAAAAATAAATCTTACAATACGTATCTAGAATAACTCAAAACAGATAACAGTAACAAGCACAGTAACTACTATAATTAGCTTTTTCATGTTAACGAATTGTATACTATAAGTATACAATATATATATATGTTATTAACGTAACACATCCCTAATGACACTACGGTTGTATGATACAGATTATAAAAAGCGCGTAATTAGACATAATAATTTCTATTCCTTTATGATTAATGTACTTAATATTTTTCATACAGGAATATGACAGAAGGTTTATTTTTGTGTATTAAGTTTATTTTCTATTCACTTTTTGCCAATCACCAATGCCTAATAGATAAAAAAAGTATTAATAGTTTTAATAACAATACACGTGTTAAAATGATCTTTATGTTCTGAGCAGTAAAAGCTATTACTTTGCTAAATAATTGCGGAAATGGTAAATACGAATATCGGATATGAATGTAGTTCAAAAAGTAGATAAACATTTGTAACTAGTATAACTGGAGTAATAAGTAAGTCTACGTATTAATGACTTCCGCAGACTATTCTAAAATTTTCCTTTATAAAAATAATAAACGCAATTAATTTGCAAAACTCTTTGAATTAATTTGTAAACCGACTGTCAAACATAAAAAAATATGCTTATGGCTTTAACTACAGGTTCATTTTAGTTTAGAAAAAATATTTTCACTATAGTGTAGAACTAAAAAGAAATATGGAATGTCTATGGCGTGACCGTCCATAGACATTCCATATTTCTTTTTTAAAAATGTAGTAATGCTCCCGATACGTACTTAATCTTCATCGAAGTCATTTCATAACTGTAGCATTACGTATGAAAAGCAATAAATAAAATGTCGTCCATTTTACGACATTTTCAACTTGATCTATTAGTTTAGTAATGTAATCGTGCAAATTGCGATATCGTAAAATACTAATAGGTAATACGTAATTTTCGAATAGGACGGATAATACAATATAGGAAAGGCAAAGAGTCTAAGGCCATGCCAGCCGTTGTCTTTGGTATCATTTCTGTATCTATATTGTTTTTGTATTTAATTTCATTCTGTATTTATAAACGCAAATTGGTATTGGAACTTTTGTATCTATCTACCAGTGCGATTTTTAATCAACCCAAAGAAGCTTCTGAATTCAACGATTTCGTTTGTTTATGGCACTTTCTCTGAACAGAACGGATTTTAAAATATGGATATTCATTATTCAAATAACCTTAATATGTAACATAACACTGAATATTCGGTAACAGATTCAGTCATAAAGAATAGTCAATAATTTCAAGTGAATTATGCAATTAAAAGGGTTTATTATTATAGGTATATAAGGGTTTTGCGCTAGCGGGGACCATAAGTAATAATAATAAAAAAAAACAATATAATAAATGCTTTTAATAACAACAAATTAAACTGAACAGTGATTACCGTGAAACTTTTTACGGTAATTCACGCGATGTTAACATTGTTCGCATATTCCAATGAATTCGATGACTAACAGTGACGTCACAGGTTAAATTTAAACTTCCTTGTCCACTCTAATAAGTGGTAGGGTTCCCAACTTTTGACGAAAGTATCGATGGGAATCAGTCTCAGAACAGTCGCAGCAGACAATATCGATCACACGAAAATCAATCGAGTAATTTCAAGTTAATATCTTATTCAGTCGGGTCATGTTATTTACTGATAATTTAGGTTTTCCTAAGTAAATTTTGTTAAGTATTAATACTGATTACCCATGCATTGTAAGAAAAAAACAGAATATATTAGGTATGTCGACTTTTATTTATATTAAAATCGATTTTGTATAACACCCACACCCAAAATATACAGTCAAATTGAGAAGAAACTTTCTATATAACGTTCAGGGTGATGGGATCCGATTTATTGTTTATTGACTTTACAAAAGAACTATTTTGCGATAAAGGAACTTTGGTAATGTAGTAGACCATACGTTACTTTGTACCAATAATTTAAATAAATGTATATCTACTTAATTATTATTTTAAAAAGCTTATAATATGGTTATAAATCTTTATAGTTTTGACTTTAAAATAGTAGTGGCGTCACTGTTATGACACAGTCTATAAGTCATAAGTATGATTATATTGTTTACATAACCTCATAACCATATAATATCGGCTTCTAAGACTTTGGCAATCATCTTATCTCTCTAGTAGCAGATAAACAGCAGCTGGATCATTAACTAGCTATTTATCATGCCATTCGATTACACATAAATTATAAAGATAACAGTTCTTTGCTCGATGACGTCATCCGATAAATTTAACTGGCGTTAATAAGGTTGAACGCAATTTCGCATGTACTCTTTGTCTAGAACTCTAGATTAGCTTACGTGTAGTAAACCTAGAGGTTAATATCCTAATAAAGACATCCTCGAGGCGTGCGTCGCTGAATAACCCATGCATCACGCGTATGATTTCTATGACGCTTGATTAATCTTAAAACTTTGTTCCTCTGTACTTCCATTTAGATAGTAATTACCAAAGATAACAGAATCTACGTTATAAATAGTCAATTGGACATATAGGATTAGTGATAGAGTATACAACGATAAAAGTCATCGTTTATGAATAATCTCTCCTTCAGTCTTTGTTTTATTGGATGATAATCGAATGCTTCACCGGACTACGCTAAGTTTACGCTGGCGGGGCACCAATAAGGGATAATGAGATGAGTATGAGGTCAGGTCAGTTAGCCCATCGCGGCAAGTTCATCAGGGATCAGGGTTTCTATGGGGAAATGCGTGGAGTGGAGAAACTACTGGTCACTTATTTCACCAAGCAGTTTTCTTTCTAAGTTTTGTTTTAATTGTAGTGTGCAGATTAGGTAGTGAAATTACAGGAAAAGAGGCATGACATCTTAGTTCTGTAGCGGATGAGTGATAACATGGATGTCAATTGATAACACCATGTTGTATATAGGCGACGGTTTCCGCTATCAGGTTAGCCGTCGGCTTTGTTATTTTAACTACGTAAAAAAAGTAATTATAACTAAGAAATAGAACGAAAAAATGTAAAAGAATTGAAATTTTTATTGCTATGCAAGATTAAACAATCAGTTTGAAAGCTAAGGTTCGATGCTCGAGTCGTGAAATGCACGTGGCTCGTTCCCGCTGTTCCGAATTTAGTGGCAACCGTGATTTATTTTTAGTGTTCCGTGCTCGAATTACGAGTAGAGATCACAATGTTTAAATTGATGTCTGTCTATCATGGTTATTTTGCGCTGTTTCACATGGCGTAGATATTGACGACCTACTAATGACCTATCACTACCAGCATTCATTATGTACGTACGTAATTTAAACAAAAATGCATTAGTTTTTAATCTTATATGCGTAGGAAGGAAGCAATCATGATATACTTTGTCCATTATGTCGCCCAGCCGCACAAATAATGCCGCAATGCGAAATATAAAAATATTTTGTATTGTATTATTAGTACTTTCGAAATTCATCACACTTTTAGCTTCAGCGATGATGAATGGTTTAAACATTGTTTCGTTCTAATTTTGTCATCGTTAAATAAAAGTATGATTCGAACATTACCGCTAATTTGGATTAGCTATCGTGGCATAATTTGAGATGAGATGATGCTCAAACTTACATGTGTATTTCCCTTTACAGAGCGTGAAAAACCTACATCATTGGTGTTAGAGAGGCAGCGAGAGGCGCTCGTAAAGGGCGTCGAGGTTGCTAGCGAGCGAGGTCGAGACGATGGGCAGCGGGAGGGCCCGGGGGCGGAGGCCGAGCCGGCCTCCCCCGCGGTGGGGCGGTGGGGCGCCGAGTGGCCGAGTTGACTCGCTTCGGTGGCGCGGGCGACGGACCGGCCGCCGGCCGGCCGGGCCCGCGACCTGACCGGACCGCCGCTGCCGGCCGCGCGCTGGGGCCCGCCCCGCCGGCCGCTCGACCTGACGCCGGCGCGCCACGAGGACCTCGCCACCAAGGCCGAGGCCACGCTGCGCCGGCTCCTCGTCACCGACAACTACGACTCCGTCAGCAACTTCATATCGCTCTTCGAGGCCTTCGAGGAGACCCCCGAGCAGCTGTACGACGTGTACGAGAAGTACTCGCCGCCGATCAGAGCGAGGAAGCACACCTGCGTCGGACTGGGGTTGGAGTTGATCAAGAGGTGGCGATGTTTGAACAAGGAGTTCGCCGGGTTCGCCGCGGCGACGGCGCTGCTGTCGTGCGAGGAGGCCGTGGTGGACGTGCGCGAGTACGTGTGCTGCGGCGACAGTCCGGCGGCAGTCATCGCCGCCGAGAAGGAGCACGTGATGGTGGGCGTGCAGATCAGGATCGACGGCCGGCCCGGCCTCCTGCTGGCCGATCCGGGCTACCACGTGCCGCGCATCGTCACCGTCATGGCTGACAGGGCGTACCCGAACACTGGTAATTGTTTATATGAACATAGTATATGAAAATGATGCAATTTGCCTTAAATTTATACTTTGTACTTTTACCATAAAGAGCTACTTTTTCGTTATGGACAACAATGCACTGATAGTTCCGATCGCGCTTTTAATCATCAATAAAGAACCTAAGCAAAAGATAAGGTAACCAATGTTGGCCTCACAGGGAATATTACTAACGATCTCCTTCCTCGTATAGCTACTATACAACAAGGTTTTCTGTCTTATGAATTCCATCAACTTAGAAAAAAAGGATTATCTAACACGGTATCGCCTTTACCAGGTTGGTTCACGCAGTCAGACGAGCCACACTGCCGTAAAGAGTACAACTACGTGTTCAGCCCTCAGAACAGCTCCTACGTGGAGTGGCAAGAGAAGGAGACCAGGGGGAGCGTGGTGAAATGCCAAACCTCCCTGGTGTACGTTGCTAGGCCGTACTTAGATGGAGTCAATGTGACCGAGAGAAGAAACCTGGTCTACAATTTTAGGTAAATGGATAATGATAATTTAGATCAATCATAAATGATCGTGGCCTACATAATGACTGCTAATGCGTTTTCTTCTAATGCAATTGGAATGACTTTTATTAATTTATATATTTATTCTTTTGCACACAAAATTATATACATCGCGGTTTTAATGCCTAATGGTATTCTCTACCAGTCAACCGTCGCATTGATCAGAGATAGTAAGGTATATAATACATATCTCTCTTACGGGGGTAATACTTTTATACACGCTGTCACACTTTTAAGCTCATCCAGCTTAAAAGATGCTGGAGGATGATAACACACAGTTCATACCAGAAACAGCTTATATAGATTGAAGCAGCATTGCAGAGAAACCCACGCAGACAACTTTATATAAAAGTTCCTTCTAATAAATACTTTTACTACTACAGTGACTTTTTTGTATGAAGTAGCTTTTTTTTATTTATGTTGATGATTATTGCGCAGGAGTCTTCTCTCTCGAGATCAAAAAGGCCATCTGATCGCCGGGTTGTACTTCCCGGTCGGTGCCCGGGGGAAAGATGCACAGTTTACCCTCTTTTTCGACAACGGCACCGAGAAACGGAAGACCAAATATAAATTCAGCACATTTTTGGACACCAATAACGTAAGTTATAGATTTAAACACTAGCAAAGCAACATCATGTAGATACATCTAATATATAAAATTCTCGTGTTACAGTTTGTAACAAAACCCCTCCGATACGACTCCATCGATTCTTATGAAATTTTGTATGCATATTCAATAGATCGGCAATATAGTAAAATCGAGTAGGTATTATCTATTTTTCATACCCATAAGTGATAAGGGTTGTCCACCCCTAATTATTTTGGACAAAATTTGTATTTTTTAAAACGTGGCATTACAAATATTATTTTTACCCTTCTATCACCAACCCCTATGTTTTAATAGCGATTTATAATAATAATAATATAAACTCTAAAGTCTACTAATGACGTCCATAACCTAAAAATCAGAACCGTTGCCTTATCAATGTAATCAAATATTCATATTCTAATAGTACAAGTTACGTGCATGAACCAAGCGGAATGATATTTAATATCAGTAATTTCATTTAATTCAGGGTTGCAACCGTCAACATATGATTGTCCTAATGACCATTGAAAATGCGATAATAATTTCAGTAAATATAGGGTTATTTTAACTGTCCACTGAATTAATTATTAATGCTGATCTAAATAAATGGATAGAATATTATTTTATTTTGACTTGTCCACGGTTTATTATTGTTATTTTGTGGACAAAGTTACAGCAGAATCTAGTACACTACAGCTCAGAATCATTGCAATCCTGCCTAATCCTTGTTAATGCGTATTTACTTAACTTGCTCATTCTTCTTAACGAGTTCGTTCAGAATGAGTGGTAGAATAAAAAAATATGTTTTTTTTTTAAATTGATGATAATGGTAATGAGCAAGAGGTCAGGTCAGTTAGCTCATCGTGGTAAATTCACCAGGAATTTTACATAATGGTTCTCAGAGATATCCGCGTGGAAGTCAACTTGACATGGTATATTGCTAACAATGAGATTATTAATCCACATTACTAACGATCGCCTTCCCCCCACCCTGTGACTATTCAAAAGTGCTTATATAAGTTTATTTGAACAAAGATAATTTCTATTCTGTTCTATTCTATTGTTCAATGTCCGTGGCCGATGGTTAGCGTGTTATCGCTCTGATTCATGTGAACATCACGCAGCCAGCTGTGTTAATGGATGATAAAAGGATGACTAGATGTTTACGTATATCTCCGTGTAATAGCGATATATTAGAATCAGCTTTTCTAAAATGAACTTCAATCAATGACATTAGTATACAGATTAGATAAAATCGAAATGTGTAGGATCAAAGTCTGTATTTACTATCTTGTTTAGTAAATAGGTATCTACTTGCGTACAAGTACAATTATTGTAGATATGTATATTAAATAAATACAATAGATTCATCATATGTAGGTACGACGAAATTACTAGTTTAAGGAAATGTTTAAAATCAATTATGGTTTTATTATATTTAATTAGGAGGATAAATATGTATGTAAATTTAATGACGTAACTTTTTCAATGTAACTTAATAATTATTATTTAAGAAACGATACCTTGTAATACAATAATATGTCAGGACAATCCACATAGCGCACATTAGTCTAAAGCTTAGCAGTTTGTGTTATGACAACTGATATAAATACATACATAGAAAACACATAGAACGATACAACCAATGATACTCATGTATACAAATTGTTGTACCGTGCGAGGAATCAAACCCGCAACCATCGGAAGCAAGACGCTGTGCTACCGCTAGACCACCGAGGCCGTCGCTATTAATATTGTTTATTTCTTTTATAACATATTTAATGCGTTATATCTTTATCTATATAATACATGTTTTCTTTTCACTAGGTACCACAAGCAGTACACGAAGAAATAGAACTATGCAATGCACAAATGAACTACAAGATTGGTGAACTTCGTCTTATTATCTGGAAGCTGGCCAAACTGATGTCCAACCAATCATTCATAGATCAGATGCTCGAGATCAACGACGACATCTGCCGCCTGAGTCTCTGACAGAATATGCAAAATGGCGACCAAAACAAAATGGCGGACGCCACTGATGTAGCCGGAAATAATGCACTTTAATTTCCTTTACACCGTAATACTTTTCTTAATTTTCTTATACACTTATAATAATATCAACCAAGTTTAAATAAAAGTATATTAAGTTGGTTACGGGATTTGATTTGCTTCTATTTTTAAAAGGTTAATGTTTATTTATTTGTAAAATTCACTTTAGTTATAATTTTATATCGAATATTGTGTATTTAATGATTATTTGCGCAATTTGTTTTAATCTGAAATAAATTTCTATTCCACAGTCATAAAATCTATTTATTTATAATATTCGTCTAATATTACGGAACAAAGTTGGTACATATGTTTGGAATGATAATAAAATGAAAGACACCATAAAATTGATTATTTTATTTTACAATCACACGGGAATAAGTTGGTTCTTTTACTTCTAACATCAATAATCGAAAATTTATAACTACACGAGACAGTTCGGATTTGTATGTAGCGAAAAACAATCCGCAGTAAATAACTTGGACATTGCTAATGAAAATCCATAGGTGACCATCGACAAATTAAGACACATTTTAATAGTTAAAATTTTCTGTTTAATACTAAAACTGAAATGTACTCCCTGCTAGTACAGTGGGAGGATATGATTATTATGATTTTAAACAAACTTTGTTTCTTCCAAACTATTGTCACACTTTGTCACGTGTGACGTGACATTCATAGATAATTATAGATGGCCCCTAACAATCGAATCAATGGTCAAGTTATATACCAGAACATTGTAATGCCGGACGAGCCGGTCAGCACCTTTATACTTTTGCGATGTAAGAATTTTATTTCACAAATATACAAGGTAAACACTTGGATAAGGCCATCCAATGAGTAATTAGACAATTTTGTGACTATATATGAAATTATTAAATGATCACTTCACCAAAAAATACAAATACAAATGTGAAAGTAAGTTTGTTCCGTCGAGCCGTTTAGTTGTGAAAAGGCAACAGATAGACAAAGACACTTTCATGTTCATAATATTTATTAGCTGTTACCAGTGACTCCTTACGTGTTGAATTTAAATAAATAAAATTTCTAAAATAAAAGTAGCCAAGTTACTCCATATAACATTAGCTATGGTTTCAGAGATCAACAAAAACAGAGAAAATTTTATTTTTTTTTAATTTGATGTTAAGTTAGTGCCACATATACTTTCATATGCATTTAATGAACAGTAGATAATTTCAAATTACAAACAGACACTTCCATTTTATTTATTTGTATATACTATATCGAGTGATCATTTATTATTTTCACAATAAATATAAAACGGCTAGCACGCACGAGTAACATTTCTCCATTTCAATATGAAAATTTACATTGTGCATGGGAATGTCCACTTCTATGCGAGTGGGCGCGCCCACGTTCCAACGTGACAAAGCAAACCCTACAACTCCCTGAATATTCTTTATTGCTCATCCCACGCACAGATTATATCGTTACATAGTATTCTCCTGCAGAAAATATGTCACGGGAATGACTTATCAAAATGAATATTCATACAAGAATTCATTTTTTATTCCGCGATTTTTATCGATAGAAAATAAATACGCGGGAAAAATTATCTATGTAAAAATTAAAAGTACAGATTATATTCGCCAGATTTGTTCTGCAGAAAATAATATGCGGCATTAAGTTCGAGTAGTTAAATTCAGTCAAAGACTTTTAACTCGTGAGCGGATTTTCTTTTATTACGCATGCTAAGCACAGATTATATAGCTACATAGTTATCTCCTGCAGAAAATATGCCACGTGAATAATTTCTCAAAACGAATTCACACAATATTAAATTTTTTTTCCGCGATTTCTGTCTATAGAAAAAAAATACGCGAGAAAAATTATCTGTATAAAAATTTAAAATACAGATTATATTCTCCATATTTATTCTGCAGACAATAATATGCGGCGATAAGTTCGAGTAGTTAAATTCAGTCGTTCACTTACTTATTCACTTTACTGTTGGGCGGATTTTTTTTATTGCGCAGGATACGCACAGATTATACCGCTACATAGTTTTCTCTTGCAGAATATAATATACCGCGAGCACAACTTCTCAAAATGATTATTCATACTCCTCCGTCTGCGAAACTTTCGTTAAAACGGTTTCAGAGTTTTTGCTTCACGTATCAATATAATGATTTTATTATTTCAGTGCATGTAAAGTAACGTCAAAAGCAACAAAATGTTACGCGTGTGTGCTAGCTATAATGGGGCATAGCGAATTTGCAGCCACTTAGATATTGAACCTAAGATTATTTCAATATCCAAGCTAACCTAACCCCTGAACAAGTATCATACGAATCTATCAGTAACCACGTAAGTACTGTACAACATGCAAGAGAGAGAACGAGACAGCGACATTCAACGTTCGTTTCATTCTAAGCGTGTTGTAACAGGAACATATTTACTGATACACTCGTTTGTTATCTGTCTATAAGGCTGAGTATGTACATAATTATAGTTACATTAAATAGGAATTTATACATTATCCCCTACCAAATACACGACTAAATCTATATTTCACTAATTAACCGATGCATGCTATCTAAGAAATAATAGACCCCGAGACGGGGCCTTATTTCGTCAATCATTTCTTCCTGGTTAAAAACTTGAATAATAATGTTAGTAATTTATAACCCCATTTAGCAATGTACCATGTCAGGTCGACCTCCATGCGGTTCCCCCTGGAAACCATCGTGTTAAATTCCTGGTCAATTTACACGATGGGCTAACTGACCTGACCTCATGCTCATCTTATCATCCTCCACTGGTGCCCCGCCAACGTAAACCGTTAGCGTTCCATTATCATCCACAAAAAATAATGGTAAGTTATATTACCTTAGACAACGTCAGCTGCGGTTAGGACGGTGAGTTTCGGGACAGGAACCTTTTTTGGGTCATAATTATGGACCTTATGCTCTATAACCTCATAACTGGTCTTATTTAGGAATTTTATTTTAACAGGTTGTCTTTGTGAGATTTAAAAAAGCTTGTTTCATATCTGTCTTGAAATTTATATGGATTACGTAATCTCCGAACATTACCTCGGGTTGTTGCGAGTTCGATTCTTGCGCATTACAAACATTTGTATTCATCATGCATTATGTAAGTATTTACAAGAAATAGTATTTATATATTTTTATCAGTTATTTAATACGCATAGAATAAGATTAGCTTATTTTGGAACTAGATGGTACTTTTTTTAAAGCATACAAACGAACTTGCAGATCACCTGACGATAAGTGATTACCGCTGTCCATGAACACCCGTAACACCAGGAGATTTGCAAGTGCGTTGCCAGCCGTTTAAGAAGGAATAAGCTCTTTTCTTAAAGGTTTCAATCGTATCGGTGCTGTAGAAACTGTTCTACCTTACGATTATTATGAACTTACTCGTTATTTCCTAGAGAATATGCATCGGTTTGTGCTTATTTGATAAACGAAGTGGGACAGGGGACACATTATTACCCGTCATACCTTTAAAGATGGCGGCAGATGCCAGTTAAATTATATCTTAAACATCACGCTGGTCTTCTGGGGGTGAAGGTTGGGGCATCGGGGTGAGCCACTTTGCCTCGACATCTTTAAGCATTTACGCAAAATACGATTGGCATCTGATCAGTTAGACCATGTCAAGTCAAAGATACGCCACGCGCCCCCCGCGATGCACCAATAGCGACCGTGATCACAATATCTCACAGAAAGAATAATCATATTTCATCATATGGTTAAATAAATAAAATGTTTTAATAAATTAGTACGTTTTTTATATCATTCTGGCCCACATACACATTCTAAATTTTAATTGAGTTCGACATATAGAGTTGAGATCGAATTCGAAAAGAATAATCGTGTATTTCTTCATAATTTTTTTCATTTAGAATGAGCAGAGATGTATAGGGACTGCAATAACCAGTAATGTATTAGGTGGGTCTTTACACAGTCGACCTAGAAACCATTGTGAGTAAATTCGCCCTATCATTCTCATCCAATCATCTTGCATTGGCGTCTCGCCAACATATACCGCAAGTAAGAGCACCATTCCATCATCATCCATAAAAAACCAACTATCTATACTTCGATAGTCCCTATCGAAGTACCCACCTAAAATGGCAACTTGTCATGATACATATAATCAACTATACCACCAAAACTCACGTTACTTTGATATAATTGAAAACGTCATAACCCAGTGTTTTAATATTTATTTGCCTTATTGACTCCAAAGATCATTAATTCGAATCAGGCAACAACAAAAAAAATGTGTGCCTTTTAACTGATTTCCCATGTTTTTCAGCTACCAACACAGTCGTTGGTTCTAAGCCAGGGTTTGGCATTGCCAGAAGTTCAATGCTTCTTGATTATTCCATCTGGGATCAGCTATGATTTCAGTGAATAATGATATAATTCAACTCGCAGCCCACCGGAAATCTCTGTCAAAAAATCTAGATATCTTTAAAAATGTATTTTTTTATCAATACTTATTATTTATCTGTAATAACTAACTTGGAGTACAGAATACTAATGTGTTAAGAACAATTTACTTGTATCTAATAATCTATAGCAACTATATATATATCAGTTGTAATATCCAGATTTCTCCACAAAGCACACTACTTATATCTAATGATAAAACGATTTAAAACTATCATAAAACTAAAACACTGTCAGTATTAGTAATATAAATGTATTAACTAATGTCTATAAGCCTTTAAACTGTAGGAAAATGAATATAAACAACAAAATACTGGAAACGCGTGTAAATGTAAACTTAAAACACGTTTTAATTTGAATTAACAGTCCAATTAATTAGTTACAAATTTAAACATTTAGAATTTCATTACAAAAACTCATCGAAAATTTCTTTCAATTTTCCAATAGTAGACAATAAGTAGTTTGTTTTTACTTAGTAAAATAGTACTTAAATGAATATAAAGAATCGGTTAGATTCTAAATCTATCTCTAAAATTAAAATTCATTTTGATTATCCAGTAAATATCTCCCACATGCTCTAAAATCTAAACTACTAATACTTTATCACTATCTTCCAAAAAGAAAATATCCCAAAAGAAAGCATTAAACAGAATAGAATCGCATTTTTAGTCTTAAGGGCTTTTTAATAAGCTACAAAAAAATATCACAAGTTGAAAGTAGATACGCTTTACTATATATTTTATTAAATATATTTATCTTGTGCATAGTCAATTATCAAATTACAATTTGAATTTCAGAGATAGTTTTACAGAATATCACTTCAGAGTCGATCAAAATGACTAATAAGTATTTATGTTTGTACTTAAGAAATCAGGAGGTATTGAAATGTATAAAATAAATACGAAACGTCCATGGGCGTAGTCAGGTATGGGAAGAGGGTAGAAAGGGGATAAATGTGCCCACGCCCCTCCCTTTAGCCGTGTTTTAACCGTAAATGAACGGTTGAAATACTGTTAAATGGATATTCGAGCTACGTCATAAATTAACAAATAATATCCTTTACATGTTCTCTCATATAAAAAAAATTACCTTTCCTCCGTGACCTCTATATAAAATCCTTGCTACGCCCATTAAAACGCACAATAAATTAACACAAAAATGTCATGAAAACTTGAGGTATTTAAGAATAACATCTATCAGTGAAGATTTAAAAGCAATAAAATCTAATAAAACAAAATGTTAACCAATATTCGTTATGGAGACGCAGTCAACAAGACAAAAGAGGTTTCATTGTTCTATTGATTAAATAACAACATAACTATGTCATTTGTTTTGTTAGAATTAATCACCAAATCGCCATGAAACGAATGTAAGTTTTTAATATGATGAAGTATGTTAAACCCCATAGATGCCTTTAGACAATACGTTCTTTCACGCGTGTGAATCAACCAAAATTAGCGCGGGAAAACTAGCGTGCGCCATCGTGAGTAATTGAAAATCAGTGCTGCAGTGACATTCTGCGGTACTAGCATTCAGCTCATACCGCGATTTTAGCTTTTAAGTTATTCTATATTTTTACTCTGTATTATAATGCTGAATAAATTATTATTATTATTATATTTTGTATTCACTCTATACGCGTATGTTTCATGTTATTTCTTTTAAATTTCATTCTTTATTCCACAGATAATATTTTTCATAGGCACGTTTAAGATTAATAAATTATCAATTACTCTATAATTGTCTTTGCTCCATAAGATGTCCGCCATTTTGCAATGACAATCATTAAATAAAAGGCGCTAAAACACGCGGGACTGTTTTATTTGGCAACGCGCGGTCTTTTTTGTTCTCTTTGTCTAAATTTATATGCTCATTCTTTACTGCGTGAAAGACCGTCCATATAAAGGCAACTAATGTCTGTAACTATAAAATGAATTTACCAAACATGTTCCATATGTATGGAACGTCACATCTCAATCAAAAGCTAGTCAGCAATTTCTGGCTGTCTTAAGATTTCACATCCTAACCAATACACACATTGACCACTAACGGTCTAGTATCAACTCATCACTGAGGTATCACGTTTTCGTATCACGGAGCGATAGCAAGACAATTTTGCATAGTTTCCAAAATACTGTCATGCAATACTTTAATCCAAAATGTATTTTAAAATCCTGGCTAAAATTAAAAAAAGTTATAAGCACTAAACAATTCCAAATAAATGTTGATGACATTATAATGATAGTGTAATAAATCTACCAGTTATACCATAAATAATACATAAAAAATATACGCAAATGAGATGAGATTCACAATACATTGACGCTAGCGCTTATTTCATATTCACTCAAATTGGAAAGTAAAAAATATCTATGTATATTTGTTTTAAGGGATTATTACACCATCACATTAATAGGATAATAAGATAATTAATAAATAGGGTAAAAACTAACTACCATTCATATTTGTAAATTATGATACATATTATAACCCCTTAAATAAAATTAAGAACAGAAACTTGAAGTAATAACTTTAGCAACATTGTTTTATTACATTATAATATTATAATGATCTTTAATTTATAGTTGTTATTGTATGCAATGTGTTGCGTAAAACTGTATTTCAGTACTCAATTTACTTATTCAATGCACAAAATTTGTGTAATAATGGCGGACTAAATCTTTTGTCAATACTTTTAAAATGTAACCAGACATCTTGTCAAATAAAATTAATTACGCAAAAACTAAAACAATAATTATAATATAATTTAAAATATAGTAATCTCTAATCTGCATACAGTTCATTTCGCCACTAGAACAAGAAAGTTTGACCTGCATTCCTAGTACATTTAAAACAGAAAAAAGTTTTAAGTTCGTCTTGTCTATGGAATGTTTACAAAGTAAAAAACATTGTAAACAAACATGTATTGTCACGTAGATAGAAACTATAGCCCAATGAGAAAAACAGATGTTAGACGTTGCATTCTCATTCTATCTCATGCGTACAGCGCGTACTTTATTCCCTATTAATAGTATTATGCTCAGTTATTATTCTTCTTCCAGAAAAACTAAATAAAATATTAGGTACATACCATAGACAATTTCATATTACACAATCTCGACATACACAATCAACTCACGTGGCATTGAGTGTATATATAAAAATACTCATTGCGTCTTTTGTTTAAAACAAATAATAGTACAAAATCATATTGCTACCGCTCGAAACCATTTCCTACCAATATGGATTATACCTATCCACGACAATAACTAAATATGTATGTCTTTACCTTTGTTAGAACAAACAGGTCATTCAGCTACTATGTTGTTGTACACCTTACTTATACACAGCATTTGTTTAAACATAATACTATTCATCCAATACATTGTTGTTTCACGAAAAATTCTAATCGTCCGACTATTAACAAAGTTTAATCAAAATTTGATGATATACAAACTGAACTCTGTCGCAAAAGAAACAAAGTACATTCTCACTTATCTTTAAACTTTGCTGTTTGATACACTTTGTTAATATAGTTAAACGGGTTTTAACACTAATAAATTTGTGGTAAATGAAGGTATTTACTTCTCTCGACGTTGCGACTACGTTATATTAGCCGTGGTCACGAGCTGACTGACTGAGAGGTAAATACTTATATTTACCATTTTATTCGTATTAAAACCCGATTGACTATATTAATAAAAGTACATTAACAGTTTCGTAATGAATTATTTCGTGATAACCCCTTTCGGTATCCTTCAAAACAATCACATCATTTACATCTAACATTCCTACACATTACATTCTACAGTTGCGTTTAGTTGTTGCACAGTCCGGTAATAAACGTCATAAGATATCATTGCGTCGTTTCTGCGTTTTGTTACGTCTGATGGACGGCTAGTTTGTGAGGATGGTACATTAATTGTCGGCGTTGGAGTGTCGGTGGGTCTTCTGGTGTTTGTGCCTGTGCCGTTGAGGGTGAGAGCCGCCGTATACCTCGCGGACGCTGGTACTGTAATATTAAAACCATATATCATCATACATTATATTAATATATGAACAAAACGTGGTGTACAAAGTTTTGTTTCACGTATTAAATTTATTAAAAAAAAACCAAAGAGACATTATGCTATGGTGCAGAGACCAAATACAAACACATATCTTTATATTAATACAAGAAGCAAAAACTTTGTACCCCTTTTAATGAAAATTGCGCAGATGGAGGAGTGTGAAATATCGTACACTTATACTTTATATAAAGAAGGAGTTCAGAATGCAAATATTAAAAAAAAGAAATACAGTAAATCAATAAAAAAAAAACACTACACATACTATCCTTATATTACACGATTGATAACAAAATGTCAATATCAAATAATGTCAATAGATTGATAACAAAACGTCAATGTCTAATAATGTCTATATTGTTAATTGACAAATCAGCGAATCGAGGTTTGTTTCTGTGCCGTTATCAAAGAAATCTATATATTAATACTGAAGCAAGTCTTTGACAAAAGAACCTTAACGATGTTCAAACATATAAATTAATAATGGTCGAATTTCAACCACTAATACATATAGATATGCACTACATATTGCGTTTGTATTTAGATGCATAGTGTTCAATTTGTAATGTTTAGTGCCACAGATACAGATACACAATAATAATAATATCTCAGGACAATTTCCCACAGCGTCATGTAGTCCCAAGCTAAGCAAAGCTTGTGTGATGGGTACTAGACCAGTAATATAAATGCTAAGATAGAACACGCAGTCCAATACAGTCATACTCATGAGTACAAATGTTTGCATCGTACGGAAAATCAAACCCGCGACCATCGGAAATAAAATGGTGTGCTAAACCGCTAGACCATCGAAGCTATGAGGTTGTAGGGACAAGACCGTAGTGCCCCTACACAATACATGATGTTCCTATTACATAAAAAATCCCATAGCTTTACTGATTTTCTGAATAGATGGGGTTTTGTGTATATCAAACATATCCATCATTATTTTTATTATGTATAGATGTTGTTTGTTCCGTTTTTAAATTACTAAATTGGGATAACAATACATGCCAAGATAATAAAAAAAAACTACACATGATAAAAGTCAAAGCTTGATGTGATTTAAAAATATAAATAGCAAGTGAGTGCATACTTCAGTGGTGATACTTCTATTTACATAAAGTTTACCCGTGATTATGGCGGTTGAAACACTGCCGAAATATCGGGAGCTCAATAAAAAAAATCTTAGAATAAGTTATCAGAAAAAATAGGCAGATTCAGATTAGCACATTGTTATTTCTTTGAGAGGAACAATAAAGAGTTTAATATTTTATAAATTATCAATTATACAGATATAATATAACAAGATTTGAAATAAATAGCATTTTTATATTGTCATACGAAATCAAGATGCTACTGAGTGGTATCTACTTTATACAAAATAATATTTAATTTCTGTAAAAATTATTACTGCATTTGTTATCTATATCTTTTAATATTCCTATTAAACAAATTTCATTGGAAGTTTCAATTAACACCTATCATTAAGTTTTTTTTTTAAGTTAGTGCGTTTATTATCGACTTTCCTATACGAATCCATAGAGTTAATTGCAAATTTTTTTATACTTACTAAGCCATCGAAAGAAACTATGATTATGAATATGAATTCAAACTATTTTTATTCGTATCTATTGATAAAGCCTGTAAAAACACCAATTTAAAAATATTATCACAAAATATATTGCGTATGTTTTATTATTTATGTATGGGAAAGGGGATTGTCAGTAATGTGGACTCCCATTGCCCATTACTAGCAATGCACCATGTCAGATTGACCTCCACGCGGTTCCCCTTGGAAACCTTGGAATTTATCATGATGAACTAACGCCTCCGCTGGTGCCCTGCCAACGTAAACCGCTAGCGCAGACGGGTGCACCATTCCATTATCATTTAAAAAAAAACTATGCTTGACTTATAGTACCTATACTAAATATATATGAACAATATAAAAACTATCATGCACACACAAACAAAATGCGACTATAGCAAAATATTTACATATGTAAACAGCCAATATATGTAATAGACAGCGTGCGTACATTTACAGCAAAGAAATAGAAAGTATATATATTAAAACATCAAAGTATATTACGATATCTCTAATAGTAGTGACGCCTCCTCCAGTATCTGGAACTGTCCGGACCAATTAGAATTTGGAATTTAGATTCATAATATTAATAGAAAATATGATTTAATATTAATGAATTAGTGCTAGTTGGTAGTTTGTATTCACAAAATACACCTTAAAAATGTAAAGTTACAACAATTATTTAAGAGAGCAACACGCAAATTTCTTGCTTTTTCTTCTTGTGCTAACATGTTTCCGAATAAGCAGTAGATTAAAAAAAATAAGTGTAACTATTCGAAAGTGCTTAAAATTTACTTTATTTGAATATAGAATTTTCTAATTTATAGTTAAAATTAATTAGATTAAGTTTTTTAAACCTGTTAATTGTTGTTCTTATGTAAACTATTTAGTCTGTATATTTATGGTATCTTTATTTATCTGTGACTCTTTTGTTCATCTGAATTTTCAAATTTAAACAAGAAAATATTCTATTTACCAAACTATTATAAATATTTATATATTTTATATAAAAGTATGTTAGTTAATAAGTTTCACAGTTTTTCTCTAAATTATAATTAAGGTATTTCGTGAGGATACTAATGTACATTATAAATTATATAATTTATACAAAGTACAATAACACCTCCAAATGCTATTGACGTCATTCATCCTTATATGTTCAGATCAAATATTATGTTAATGAAAATTCCCGCCAAATGTAAACGATGACATAAGGAACTATTCTTAATATGAGTACAAAGTAAAATAACCCTGCCAAACGATAGATTACAAATATTTTTTAAATTTATTACTTAATGAAAATTCCCGCCAAATGTAAATGATGACGTAATGAAGTTTTCTTAATATGAGTCCAAAATTAAGTTAAGTACAACCCTTCCAAACGTTAGAGATAAAATATTTATTTATTAGTTAATAAAAATTCCCGCGAAATGTAAACGATAACGTAATGAACTATTCTTAATAGTACTCCTCCAAAGTAAAATAAACCTACCAAAAGCCTAGTAATTAAATATTTTTAAGTTTATTAACATAGTTAATGAGAATCCCCGTCAAATGTAAATGATGACGTAATGAAGTATTCTTAATTTGAAGCATTTTATTTTTTTAATTACCAAGTAGGCAAATTCGTGTTGTTAATAATGCCATAACAAGTGAATTTACCTGGAGGGTAGTAGGTGGGAGCCGGCGCTGTTTCTGATTGGCCGGCGCGAACTCGGCCGTGAGTGGTGACGAGGACTGGACACATCTCTACTTGTACTGTAATATACATGCCAACTAACTACTTTGTATATACTGTAGGGTTGCCAACCCCAAATATAAATAGAAAAACAGAACTTGAAATTGGAATAACCAGAACAATTCATTATTTATATTATTAACCGGGTTTTAACAAATAATAAATAATGTATATTAAACACGAAAGTTTAAAAATAAACAGAACAATTCAGTTTCATAACCGCACTTTAACTATTATAACTCTATTACACGTAGTAACAGCAATTACTACGTGTTGAGTTACTTATACCTTAGTTAGTATAGCATTGTAATATGTAGTGAAAACTTTTAATTAAAAATTAAAAGATTATTTAATATTGAAAACCTAGGAAATATAGCTACTTAAAATTTTTCCAAGAGCTCCCAGTACACTACAAAAACTAGGATATGTCCTGGGAAAACAGAATGGTTGGCAACTCTTATATACTGAGACAGGTAGATAGATACAGATAATGATTAAACAGAGAGAGAGAGAGCTCTCCCTGTTGAATGACGAAAAGAATAAATACTTAAAAAGTATTAATATGTTAAGTAATGAACTCATTGTGTATTCAAATTAGATCCATCTATCCATCTCTGCGAAAAAAACATTATAGCATATTTATGTATATATAAAAATTAATAATAGTGCAAGAAAGATAAATACAATATTTATACAATCATGCCATACTAACCATATACACCAAATATTTTAAGCGTCATACAATAATATATATATTGATATATAAATATTTCAAGTGTATCGAGTAAATATGTAATATCGCATAATAAAAAATATATTTAATTCACTACTTAATGGATTTATATTCATTTGTTTAATTGACTAAACAGCAACTCGGCGACCAGTCAACACTAGGCCTCCAAGCTATATCCGAACTCTTTTCAATGCCTGATGATGCTTCGTTCAGAGGCGAAACACGTATCGCGATATGGGTGTAGACTCAATAACGGTCGGAATTTGATCGACATTAGAGAAGGTCATAACGGTAGTCTAGTTTCCGCACTGAATACTTGTGATCTTACACAAGCTAATTGTAGCGGAATTAAATAAAACAATATAAGTCCATTAAGTAGTGAATGGATTTCCGCAATATAACACCTAAATATATATTTAATTCATTAAAAAACATCTAGAAAAATTGCTTTACTTGGGAAAGTTCTAAATGTTTCGCAAGTTTACTATACTTTCTATATATATATATGAAAGAAATATACATTTGGAAACTTTGGAATAACCGTCTGACTATGTCTAATTTTTTTTATTTCATTTATTTTTTCTTATCATTATTTCTATATTATACTTCTCTATATGTTTTTCCTTATCTGGAAATTTGGAAAAACCGTCTGACTATGGAGGCTCGTCTAATTCAATTTTTTTCTTTTTTTTTAACTTATTAGTATGTTCTAATTTATAAAACAGACGCCGAAACAACTATTTAATACACTTTAGACCAATTCTAACAAATAACATTTAAAAGCTACTTACGAAGGCGGTGGTGCCGGCAGTGCGAGACGAGGCGACTCCATGCGGGAGCCTGGGGCGATGGCTTCACGCGCCCTCATCATGCCCGCCTTGGTTTGGAACTCTCTGAAAACATACGAAATATATAAATAAAATATAAAATACATTATAATATCATGCACTACAATACATACATTACAATACAAATACATACAACTGAGTAATTGCCCCTCTGGCAATAGTGTAATATAGTAGTCTTTTTTTTAAATAATTAACTTTTAAAAAAATATAGTCTGCATTTTTACAAGTGCAAACTGTTGCCACTTTGCTACTGCTATACACAACACACAGCTACGAGTGCATAAGAATGTACCGAAGCGGAAGTTAAGGACCTTCCCGTCCAATTCTAATAGGTACCGAAATTACGACGCGCGACGGCCTGAGCTGAGGCTCGAACCCTAGCGGTGCTCTCAGACCAAAGTATCCATCAAGCAAGCTCAAATCCGACAGGCGGGAGTTGTCCTTCAGCCGCTCCATAAGTCTTTTTGCGGGTTTGAAGTGCCATCTGAACTCGCCCCTATCGTCTAGTGAAGCTGTAAAGGTCAAATGCGGCCTTAGAGTAGAGAAAAAAACATATTTACCTGTCGAAATCTTCAGCCTCCTCCTCATCGAGGTTAATGAACTCCTGCCTCTCCTCAGCATCACCGGAGTAAAAGTTTTGTTCCCGCTCGATCACATGCGCGCGCTCGCCGATATGGTGACCTGGGTTATTACAATTTCAATTATTGGAGGGAAGGAGATTGATTGATTAATGTGAACTGATGACCCTTTTGTAGCGGTTTCTATGTTGTCGCATGCCTAATCCTTGTTAATGTGTATTTATTAATTTATTTGTTTGCAGAATACAGTGTTAAAATCAAATGATTTAATTAGGATAACATTGATTTATAACAGCAACACGCAAGTTTCTTACACGTTCTTCTTGTGATGAATTTGCGTTCCGAATGAGTGTTAATAAAAATATGACTTTTATAAATAAAAATAAAAATATTATATAAGTAAAGTGCTTATAATAAGTTTATTTGTATAAAGATAATTCCTATTTCGTTTTTCAATTCTTTCTATTTCATTGTACTTGTGAGGTTGACCTCCACGCACATCTCCCTGTAAATCATCATAATAAATTCCTAATGGTTTTACCAACTAACTAACTTACTATACTAGATGTCAATATGGTAGAATAAAAATAATATAAAAATGGATCAATGTTATTTTTAGTTAAATAAGAAGTAAAATATAAAAGAAAGTTATGAAAAATAATTTTAAACACAAAAGTTTCTGTTTATGTATATTATATGAATAATATACACATAGTTATACAACCTTCCTCACGTACACTGTACAGTTGTACACCTCTGCGTGGCCGAGGTGGGGATAACAAAATAAATTTAAATTCATTTAGCTTTGAACTTATTGCATAACAAAAAAAAAATTTCGCTTGGCAATCAGTTACATACTTTCTATAACATAAATATATAAATAAATTTCTCTTGATGGCAAAAATAGATTTATTAAAGAAAATAGTAACAAAAATATGTTTAAATAAAATAAATATCTCTTGTCTAAATATGAATTAATAACGAAAATAGAAAAAAAACATCACACAAGGGAGACTTCCCTCTCTGACAAATGTGACTTACTGTAAAAAGAATGAGGGAGAAGTGAGGTGGCAAAAATCACGCAATTTATAGGAGCCATAGTTTTTTCTACGTGTAAAAAAATTTAAGAGCAAGCCACGCCCATTACACTAGCCAAATATCACTCGAGCCTCTAATTACGTAGTCAACTACTGTGAATTACCGATTATGTAAAGTCATCTTTCTATTCCTGGCCAGAGAATGATGTCATATTCAACAACTTCATTATGTAACAAAAAAATCGTTCAGTTTATTTAAAAATTTGCATAAACACATTGTGTTAATTTCAGCAGACCCACAGACTAATTTTATCACGTAGCACTGCCCACGGAAAATACAGATAATAATATTCGATGTTAACTTGGCATTTCATAGTTGACAGAATTTTTTAAATCGGTTATATATTTTTTGAGTTTTAGTCATCCATAATAAACAATGCCACGTTAGGGGTACCTCCCCCTAACGTGACATTGTTTATTATGGTCGACAAAGTGTGACAAGAGGATAAGAAGGGGCACACCCCTTCTCATTTTTTAAACGTGATTACAAATTTAAAAAATGAGAAGGGGCCTGCATTGGCGTACCAAAGTCGTCGGGGCTGCGGAAGGTTGCTTGTACATTCTCATAATCCTGAGAAAAGGTAAACACAAGAAATGCTTTGGGGGTTTCAATGGTCAGGCAGTACCCGTTTACCTCCTACGGTATGAGTGGGTTCATGAGGATTTTCTACAATGCATCATGAAATGTAGGAGGGGTCCCATTCCTGGGAAGAGTTTGTATGTGTGTCTTAGACTCGTATTTAAACGTTAGTATCAAAACACAATATTAAACTATTAAAATCTGACTAGCTGTGACAGAGGGGGTATTTACGCTAAACCCATTTTTATCCTAAAAATGGGTTTAGCGTAATTAGAGATCGCCTTATTCACTACAACAAAAAATTTAACCTTTCCTCATTACAATATTAATTCAGATACAAATATAGATACTGTAAGGAATAGGATATATCACCCATGAGTAATATCAAATCTAATTAGTTTACTAAGGTTGTGGTTTATTTAATCCTTCATGACTGTTAACCATAACATGGTTATCAGTTGCATCAAATTGTAAGAGTGTCACTAAGTATGTACCCATCACATGTTATATAAAATTTACATATATATTAATTATAGTAGTATTACTAAAAACTCAGTAGTATCAACATATCTATCAGAGATCATTTCTTTTTTTTAAGCTATGGCCCCATCAAAATTACGATGATTTTCCCGATGTCACGATTAGAACAGACTAAAAACAGGGTTCATTATTTTTAGTAGATTAATTATGTTGAGGATCTGAGAGATGAGTCCTTACAAAATGTAAGTATTGCTGTTATTAACTTTGACACATCCACATTTCTCTCAGTATATCGAAATCCAACATTGTGGTGGGCATAGACTACCATCAATTCCCAGATTAATTTGGTCTCATCAGTTTTTTCATCACCAAAAGCAGTAAGAAATATGGGTTAACAAAAAACTTTGTGTAAGCTAAAATCAAACTCACAACCTGTCAGTATAAGTTGAGGACTAATGTAATATGCACTCTATTCTCCGCATTTAGCTTCTTATCTGGGTCATTGTGTGTGAAGTTGATGACTATGGAGGAGTCATGGTCTACACCACGACATCCTCTACTACTAGTTGTAGAACCTACAACTACTATACACCCTTGATTTATAATATCAGTTAAAAACTCACCAATAGACATCTTTTTAGTCCCAGTGCGGGAGTCCTGAAGAGTTTTACGTGTTTCCTTAAGACCATTTGGTCCTATTTTGGTGCTGCTACTAGTACTGTATACCTGAAGAAATTGAAATATAAAATAATCACATTGTAAGACTGCAAAAATAGAATATAGAAGATACAAAATAGAATTCAAATTGCACAACTTTTCTAATGATTGTGTAATTGTTTATAAATAAGATGGTTATTTATAATTAAACATTAAAACTACATTAGAAATATTTTGTCCTATCCTTTCAGACAATTATCCTAATTTTAAAAAAATTACAAAACATTATCAGTTAATTTAAAGTTATTTTATGAAAAAAATACAACATATAATTTATGTAATAGTCCAAGGTCCCATCCCATATCTGGGGGCCCACCAAATGTTACTTATTATCTGAGAAAGGAAATAGGTGGGATAGAGTAGTTTAATATATACTCCAAACATATGCAAGCTTGCTAGCTTTAGCTGAGGACCAATTTACAAATACCAGATTCTATCTTCCATCTAAATAAAGGAGATAAAGTTGGAAATAACAACTAGTACCAAAGTAAATAATAATTACAAATAGACAATTTATACAAGTTTTATTTTAATATATGTAATAAACTTATAATAAAAGTATAATAATAATAATAGATATTTTATTATAATTACCTGTGGTTTACCATTAGGTCCACTGGACATTATAACTGTGCTGCTGCTGAATGAGCTTCCTGTGCCCATGGATCCATCCATATCTAAAAAATATATGTTTATGATAATTTGTATAGTAATATTGCAGAGTTGCTTTATAATATTGCCATTTTGCCAATGGGTGGTACCTTAGTCCTCCAGAATAGCATGAGGATTATCATGGGTACAGCACTATGATGTTATGTTTGTGCTATTTATCTATATAAAGTGATGGTTGCCTCTCAACCACCATGTGGGCAGTCCACTTATTTACTATTCTATTTACAAAATAAAAATAAAGGTACATATTTTAATTGTTTTGATTGGTGTATAATGTAAAAGAAAGCTATGGCACACAAATAACAAAACAAAAGGCAAATGGAAAATTTTTGTCTATGTCAAATAACAGGCAAAAAATCAATAACTTGTAAAAGTATTAATCAATAATTTCCTTATATAATTTAAACATGCAATTATACAGTACCTGTGAATAATCTGTTAAGCATCGGCATTTGGGGCATCATAGGCATCATTGAAGTGCAGGCGTGTCGGGGGGCAGCAGTCAGCGCCAGGGGGCCGCCGCCGCCGAGCATGCCGAACGGGTCAGAGAACATCGAGTTCATCATGCTGTTCATCTGACGCATATGCCTAAAATGAGAGCTGTGGAAATTACCACATTTACTAAACGCTTGCCATGTGATTAACTGTCAAAAAAGGAAAGCGAAGCGTATGCTTTTAATTCCCTATTTTATTTACAATAGCATCATTGTATTTTATAGATTACTATTGTATCAATAAATTATTACTTACCCAAAGAATGGATCATCTTCAAAATCACCCATCAAAGATCCAAACAGCGACATTTTCAGTTCTCAAAAAGAGAGATCTTTAGCCAAATATCAGTAAATAACTCGGAATTAAACACAATAAAGCGAGTCAACTAATTTTTGTTACACTCGCGAAAGTTGTCACGGAAAAATTACGATCTATGATAGAAATTTCGAGCAAATTGCAAAACTCGAAGGTATAGCAATCACAAACGAAGGAACACGATATTATTTTTTGCAGAAACCCAGACGACAAAGAATGTAAAAGAATTTGTCGTTTATGTATTTGACGAAATAAAAATAGTGTTGTGACGAATTATTGGAAAATGGAATTGCCCGAACAGAGTGAATAGTTAGTGTGCCAAACTGCCGATATCGGGTACGGGGTTTGAATTTTAGCCGTGCTTTATACATACAACGAGTTTGACGATTATGTTCCTATTGATCTATGTCTGAATCGAAATGTTCATAATGTAATTGTACAAAATATAACTATATATAACATAATATAGTTAGGTAATATAAATAAAAAACTGCGCTTATTACAAAATTTGTTTTTATTCATCATCAGATAAAAAAATCCGACATTAATTATAAATCGTCTAAAAATTGATAATAAATATCGACGGAAAAAATTATTCCCAAAAACCGAACAATGCAGCTTTCTCAAATACGTATTTGTAGACGTTTTGTATCGTTTTTCAAAGCTTTGGCTTGACGTGCTTGGTTGAAAAGAGCGTGAGCGCAAAAAAAAACATTGGTGCTCTCAGACCTTAGCCGCGCGCTTTGTAATAAGCCGTCAAGAAACTGATTGTAGTTACTAGTAACTTAAATAACAATATCTATTGGTCTCAAAACAATTAAAAATATGACTATATACTGAAAGACACAGGTGGATGTTCGATATTCATCGATGTTTAGTTGTAAAACATCGACAATATCAACATTCCGTATAGATATTATAAGAAATCGATATTTTTTATACGTCGATACTTATAAATCGATTTCTACATCGATGTCAAAGTAATCATTTTCTGATTTTGTTGGTCCCCATTTAGAAAACCACTATATTTCAAACACAACAGAAATAGCAGTTTTTAATAGATGATAATGGAATGGTTCTTCTATTAAAAACATTCACATAAGTAATTATTATGTTGTCACGTAAGTAACATATCCGAGAATAAATATATCTAAAGGAAATATCCGAGATCCGAGACTCATGGTAAAATAATCAGAACCACAAAGTATATGGTGATACTACGCACGAAGACGCGACGGCACGCTCCCTTTATCTAAAAAAAATATGTAAATTCCGTAATAAATGTTACTTCTTGTATCCCCTGGGTCCTGTAGGCCTCTTGTTCGATGATCCTGATTGGCCACTGCTTGAAATTATTCGTAAAATTAAATGATAAAAACATTTTAAAATTATTTATTTCATTTTCATAACAATTCTCAGTACAAAACATATACCACATTTATTTTATGACAAACTAAAAACATACAAGCAATAAATGCAAACAAACACCATTTTACACTACGCTCTGCTTTTAAATCTATATGCGTCAGAGAATGGTGCACGGTTGTTACCATGAAAAGACCACGCCGCTGATGTGGGATACGATGTGTATACCATGTCCTGTAAACCATTTCTGCATCTGGTTTGTTTCATAGCAGTCACCTGAAACAAAATATTTAACGAATAAAATTACTGTAAAATACAAAGTATACGAAGGGAAACTGTAATGCAAATGTCAGACATGTTTGAAGGAAGGAAGTTAACATTCGTCACGATTTTACAATTTTATTATGTAAAATAAATAAGATAATAACGGCTTTACCTGATCAAATAAATAATGATAGAAGACTAGAATATAGTAGAATAATAACCGTCATGTCAGAAGAATTGCCTCTAGTGAGTGTAGTAAGTATGAGTAAATATAAAACCAAAGGCGAAGGCACATTTTAGATCACGTTGTAAAATTTCTCTATAAGCCAGCAAAAAGGTATAAAAACCTGATTCGATTTTGTATTATGACGTCTAAGCATTAGCGGAAAAATTATTAGAAATGATATACAATGGGTTCATTACCTTATCAGGAGCACTATCCCCACAAGGTTTAGTAGTAGGTACATCACCGATTTGTTCCACTGTTGGTGCTACTTTATTTGGTTTGTTGTTGTTAAATACAGTATTGTTAACAATAGTATCACCACCAACTTTTTCTACAGGTGCTTGAAGCGCAGGATTTGCGACTCTGTGAGCGACATTCCCTTCAGAGTATGTTGAGCCATAACTTTGTGGCGGGTTTATGTTCTGTTGAGTAAACGATTGGGAACCTTTGTATTGGTTATATACTTGTTGCAATTGGCTTCTACTAGGTGTTCTTCCGACGGGTTTGTTTCCAACAATAGAAGTCTTACTAACAGTATTTTTTACATTATTGTATTTAATTGCCTCTTCTCTCAGTTTAGTGGGTAACGGCTGTGGTGATAGCGTTTGGGGCAGTGATGATTCAGGTGGGCGATACATTTTCGCCGGCATCATTTCAACAGGTTGACCAAGCATATTGTATTGATAATACATCTGTGGTTTTGTGTGTATAGCTTGGCTCCTTGATATATCCACTGGAAATATTGGTTCTTTAATAGTTGCCGGTACTGGGTTGGATGTTGGAGGTGTCGATTGATCTGGTGAATTGGACATTTGTAATTTAATATTAGGATCTCTAAATGACTCGTTTCCAGTTGAATGATTTTGGGAATTTATTATAGCACCAGTATTAGGATCTGTTCTCTGTTGTAACTGATGCGGATGATATTGTGGTAATAACTGATATTGTTGAGTTTGCTGGGTAGACATCTGCTGTTGATTCAAAATAGGTGAAGCATACTTTTGTTGTTCTGATATTTGATTAGAAGGAATAAGATTATTGGATTGCATAATTTCTTGATGCATTGGTTGAGACTCATTGGCTTTGATACTTTTATTCCCAGTCATCAAGTTTTGCATCGTATTCATTGCAGCTTTTTGTTGATTTGCAGGATTCATTTGTATTGCTATAGCCATGGGATCAAATCCGAGATCACCTTGCATGAGGCCTGGAAACATCTCCTTAAACTTTGTAATTCCTGAACTGTGTTGACCGTAAGTATTGGGATTTGGAGCTGACATTTGTTGGACACCAGGATTTCTATTTACTTGTCCCATGTTACCAACTTGGCCAATTGCTTGAGAACCAGGAGTATTGTTACAGTGTGTCATATTACCTAGCATTGAATTATTTTGAACTATATTTTCAGAATACATATTTGGAGGAGCTGGGTGCTGAGTAACCGGGTACTGCAAATTTGAATTAGGTTGTTGTCCGTAACTCATATTTGTCATTCCCATATCGGTTTTATAAGCGCCATCGGTTTGAGGTGACAACGGTGTAACACCAACTTTGCCATGAGGTGACTGATGAGCATCTATTTGTATAGATTCTTTCAACTGTCCAATTTGCCCTGACATTTTATTTTTCGAGCCACCTTCACTAATAAACATATTTGCAATTTGAGCTCCCATTCCACTCGTTGGGACCATTGGCTGACTCTGTCCCATATGATTGGTTTGACCATTACGCTGAATATTTTGCATGGTGCCCATTTGTTGAGTATTGTTGTGATTACCCATTTGTAACGAATAGCCTGGCGACATGTTATCTAAATTCTCTATAGTATTCAGATTCTCTGTCCCTCCTAACGTAGGACTTTGGTTCATGCCTATTACATTGTTCTGTGGTTGCATGCTAACATTTCCTTGAGCTAGCCCTAATTGACTGGCCATGGGATTATTCATTACAGTATTTGCAGGCGTGATTGATTTCAAGTCATTATAAACTTCTTTCATTGTGGGCTGCATTAGGTTTTCATTCAAATAATTATATGTATCTGCATAAAGTTTTGGTGGATTGCAATGACCCATACAGGGTCCGTTCATGGAATTCATGTAGGAACATGGTTCGCCAGCACAAGGGGCACTATAACCTTGGTTGTATCCGTGGCCGTGGCAGCAGCCTCGTCGACATCCACCACAGGTTGGTAGTGGACTACCTATAGTGGAACCTTGGCCCGGATTTGAAAACAGTTTTCCCATACACCCACTGAAACACATGAACTATGGTAATTTAAAATTGTATAAAACTAAACTACATTTGAAAATTTCTATAATTCCTGACAAAGTATTATATTATTTTCAGATGTAAAAGCAACTCAACGTAGTGTAGATTTATCAGAAATTTCATTTTTACGTTGAAAATATTTTGATCTTGTGACGAGACAGTTTTCCGAATGAGCGGTACATTAAAAGATGGATAACTGTGACTATTCAAAAGTACTTAAAGTAAGTTTATCTGAATAAAGAGTTTTCTATTTTATTGTAGGAACTTAAAAATCTATACCAAACCATATGGCCAGTATATAAGAGTAAGCCAACATTTTCTCTTACAACGAGAAATCCAATTGCAGTAATAGGATGGCAAGTTAAAAGGTTAGCATGTGTGAGGTAACTATACACCGGAATATGCATGAAAGTACTCAAGAAATGAGTCTGGAGAATAAAAAGGTTACTGAAAATACTACAATTTTCAATAGCAAACCTATCTACACTATTTTGGTTTAATTTAATGTAAGCCTACTACATTCCCTTCTTATCTAAGCCGTCGCGAATATACTACGCTCTTTGAATTTTATGAAAAACCATATTATAGAATTTGGTACAGTATGGACCGTATTTATAACTCACAACTGTAAAAAAATCAGATCTAACTTTAGAGGAGAGATATTAATCAAAACATATTTGGAGTAAATGAAAAATCGCAACCAGTTATATCGCTTTCGTAGATCTGCTACCAAACGTGTCATCTATCGTCTTTCTACGTTTCTACGTGTCCACAGTTGAAATAATTTCAATTAAATTACTTACCAATCAGCACTCTGAAGTTGATTTACAACACTGCCTAACTCGCTTAGAATTCTCTGTTTATCCAAAGCCATTACTTGCTAGTTTTTAGTTTGTCTAAAATTTGTTTAACCGAAAAAGTCTTCTATTATTATAACTCAAAATTTAAACATTGATAATATCATACACTCCTTGAAATATGAAATAATGTGACAAATGTTTGAATTATGGTTACCGTTTTGAATTTAGAATGTATTCTATTGTAAAATCTAGCTGCCAATACTATGCACAATACAATAAGGATAGACAGTCTTAATTTTAACCTCTTTATGTTATTCTTCCTGAGTCTTAAATAATACGTTTTCTGGAAGAACAGATTAAATAAATTCTTAAGCCTGCTGAAAAAATCTTCCATAGCACACAGAACTGTAATCATAAATTTTGTAAGCTCAAGTAAATCCGACATAGTATACTAGACTCTATATGAAGTAGTGATACCTTTCCTAAAAATCTGGCAACAATTACTGATATAGAAGGAATATTCAAATAGGTATGAATATACGGAATGCTATTGTTTGTCGCGCCGAAATAGTTTATCATAATAGACGGATGTAAATAATTCCATTGATATATTTTGTCAGTCATTTATAACGGAAATCATTAACCTAATGTTAATATTACTTTTATTTCATTGTAAATTTGTAATAATTATTCGAGTTTATTTTTTTGTGAAACAAAGTATTGTACTTTGTTTCACATTCGATATATGTATAATAAATCGATAAATCGAATAGAAAATTTATATGTAAAAAATCGAATCAATCGAAAATAAGTATGGGATGGAATCGATTAAACAGTCCTTCCCTATCATCGTGTAATGTTTTTATAAGCTGACAACTCCGGTGTTGACCATTGTACTTTCTGTGTCTGGTCATGGACTTTTATAATTTATTTTAATTAGTAGACTCTTTTTGATCAATCTTTAGTTCTCAGTCAAAGTTTTTGTATTTAATTTGGATTAATTCTTGTTATCTGATATCAACGTCAATTAGTTATCAGCATAAATTTTATTGTGCATAGAAGGCAGGATCACTTCGTGCTCGTCATCATCGGTGTCAAGAGGTAATAATTATAATATTTTCAAAATGCCTAGAAAGGTGTACGTTGTTGGCGTTGGAATGACGAAGTTCGTCAAACCAAACACTGGTGGAGATTACCCGGATTTCGGCAAGGAGGCAGTCGAGGGCGCTCTCGCAGATGCAGGTGTCAAATACGAAATTATCCAGCAGGCAGTCTGCGGCTATGTTTTCGGTGACTCCACCTGCGGCCAGCGAGTGCTGTACCAGGTCGGCATGACTGGTATACCTGTCTACAATGTCAACAATAACTGTTCCACGGGCTCGAACGCTCTCTTTCTCGCTAAACAGCTCATCGAAGGCGGAAACAGTGATGTAATACTCGCATTAGGCTTCGAGAAAATGGCGTCTGGACCCCTGGGCGGCGGTGCCTTCAACGACAGAACAAACCCTATGGACAGACATGTCTTGAAGATGTCAGAACTGTCGGAGATAGCAGCTGCACCGATGACACCTCAGTTCTTCGGTAATGCAGGTATTGAACACATGAAGAAGTATGGCACAACAGAGGTACACTTTGCAAAAATCGCTGCAAAGAACCATAGACACGGTGCAAAGAATCCACGTGCTCAAAGCACAAGGGAGTACACCGTGGAGGAAGTATTGAACTCTAGGAAAGTCTATGGTCCATTAACTAAACTGCAATGCTGCCCGACTAGCGATGGAGCCGGTGCTGCTATCCTCATGTCTGAGGAAGCTGTCATCCGGTACGGTTTACAGAACAAGGCTGTAGAAATCATTGGTATGGAAATGGCCACTGACACTGCTGCCGTATTTGATGAGAACAGTCTAATGAAGGTAGCTGGCACAGATATGACAGCGTTGGCTGCTAAACGCTTGTATGCTAAGACTGGCATATCTCCTAACCAGGTTAATGTTGTTGAACTCCACGATTGCTTCTCGTGCAACGAATTGATCACATATGAAGGTCTACAGTTGTGCGGAGAAGGTGAAGCAGGGAAATTTATTGATGCTGGTGACAACACATATGGAGGCAGAGTGGTGGTCAATCCCAGTGGTGGATTGATTGCTAAAGGTCACCCGCTGGGAGCTACCGGTCTGGCCCAGTGTGCTGAATTGGTGTGGCAACTTCGAGGCGAGGCGGGCCCCAGACAGGTTTGTTAACAATCAATATAAAGGTTTGAACGGGTTGTCTTGCTGGCTGATGTTATTTGGGAGACTTTGAAGCTTATTTTTGTTTTTTGGTGTTTCATGTTTCATATTGATAACATGTTAGTTTATTAGTTTCTTATCAATAATTGGAAGACTGATATGAAGTCCCCTATTCATACTTGATAAACAATGAACTTTGAATTTATTTAAATAGAAAACAATTATTGTAGCAAAGGACTTTAGGAATGTTATCTAATTGTTTTTACATCACTCAAATGGCAATTGTAGAAATAGAGGACATCTTAGGGTGGCCATTCATATGGTTTCCAAATTTGCAATGGTTTTAAAGATTTTTGGATATATAATACTAGTTGTGCTTGCGACTTTGTCTGCATGGAATGGACATTCTTTTTAATTATTTAAGCTAATTATTAGTATGTGTCTTATGTCTACAGAAGACACATAAATAAAGAAAAATTATTTAATAATCTGACACAAATAAAACCAAAGAAAAAAGTTTTATCCATCTAGCTTCAAAAATGACAAATTTCAGTACAAATTTTCATCCCTTCCCTCCCTTAAGGGTAAAATTTTTACAAACTTTGTATGTCATATTTATTTCTATTTAATCACAGCCTAAAAATTAGTTTCAAGCTACTAGCTTTAAAAATGATCATACTTCCAAACAACCTTTCATCTCCCCTTTCAACCCTTATTTTGCATTCAAAAGTAACCTATATCCTTTCTCTGGGTTGTCCCAGGTTGTCTAGACCTGGGTACCAAATTTCATTTAAATCGTTCAAGTAGTTTTGGCGTGATAGCGCGACAGACAGACCGAGTTAATTTCGCATTTATCACGTTTCGCATATTAATATGCGAATAGAATTTTGACTCTAATAAACATAGTAATGTAACATAAACATTTTAACTTAAAATTTATGAGCAACACGCAAGTTTCTTGCATTTCTTCTTGTAATGCAACAGCTTCCCAATGAGTGGTAGACTTTAAAAATGCTTAAATTAAGTTTATTTAAATAAAGAATTTTCTATTATTTCTATTCTATTCTAGAGAAAACCTATTTACATAATGCTAAGAAATAAATTACTATAATAAATATCCATACTTTGGCTCTCCAATAACAATGGGCGTGATAAAATGCAAATCATCATGTTATTTTTGCTTATTTGTTAAACTTTGTCCTGCGAAAATCTCACGTTCAATCTCCCAACCATTTAAAGGTTTTTGAGTGTATTCCTTCAATAATTTAGGTGACTACACCCTTAGTGTTGCATTTTTTTGCCTGAATCTTTCCTTTGCGATTCTATACAAAGTTCCAAAAGTACTCGTTGATAAGTGTCCGGCTAAAAATATTGCGCGAGGTTAAATGTACAAACAAACGTTACGTCACGGAGCACGATAACTGTCACGTTATAGTAGGTACCGCAGCTGTAGTGTATTAATTTTCTAGAAGTTACGTACAGAATGAGACTAGAAAGTTACTAGTTTTCTTAACTATATATATGTAAATACGTGAAGCAAAAACTTTGTACCCCTTTTTACGAAAATTGCGCGGACGGAGGAATATGAAATTTCGGTCACTTATAATTTATACTAGTTGTAACCGCGACTTCGTCCGCGTGGAATTTAACTTTATTTTTCTAAAATAAAAGTACCCTTAGTTACTCTTTATTACATCAGCTACCTGCCAATAAAAGTCCCGTCAAAATCGGTCCAGCCATTTCAGAGATTAACCGGAACAAACAGACCGATAGACAAACAGCCAAAAACTGTAAAAAAAAAAAAATTTGTGTATGTATAGTATGTATGTTCATATGCATGAAGTAAAAAACGGTTAGTTTAAATAAAAACGCATGAAACAAATCATTGATAGAAATTTCTACCGAAGTACATTTTGCAAAGTCCTCTATGCGTCAAAGTAAAGCTGTATTTCGGTTGAATGTCCGAGATAAGATGAAATTATAGGGTATGCGGCATGATATCTTACTGGCAGTTATTTTATAGGTAGTTATCACGGGATATTTGTATTATGGTGCTGTTCATATACACTTGTTTTATTACACCATTCAAACCTCATATCAAATATTATTAGCTTGTTTACCATTTCATAAAAAACCTTAAACTTCCTACAAACTTATATCAATTACGATTACAGTGTTTTGCCACTTTCCTTCTAATTAAGATGTTCTTACTTGTAAGAATAAGACGGAAATTTAAGTATCTAAATGTGGTATATAATTTTTTTTATAAATAAGGCGTCAGATCCGTCCATTGTCTGATTCCAACGGGGATCAACATTACGACGTTTTGAGATGATGGATCGTGTCCCTGGTGGTGCCCTGAGACGACGACGAGAAACTTGTTTCCATCAGGCAGAAGTTAGCCGTCAGTGTCGTCTTCATAAATCTTTCACCAGATTTGGAGTTCTCTTTGCACTCGCTTCCATTTTCGTCTGGTAATACTGTAAAGTCCAGCTGCAGTAAAGCATTAGAATTACTAAAGACCAACAGCATTGCAATAGTTCATTCACAGTATGTTTTCCAATACAAACAACTAGATATATGTAATACTATTTTTTTTATAAATAAGCAATTACATACATTCACTGACCGGTTTTGCATTAGTGATGCGATACGTCTTGTAAAACCGATGTTTACATCGATTCTAATCGAATCTGGTGAATTGAATGACTCAATTCACCAGATTCGATTAGAATCGATATATTTACATATGTATAAAAGTATTGATATTTAAATCGATTCCAATCACATTCTGATTAATCGATTGTAAACTAAGCAAATAGGCACCTCGCGTGTTTTTGAGTACTTATGTATTTCTTCAATAACTGTTATTTCTTTAGTGTTTATGTACATTTAAGTACCTAATTGTAAATAATTTTGTGGTCCTTATCAAGACAATCGAATCTATCGTCGAAAAACAAATCGAAAATATCGTCTCGATTTTTAAGAGTAAATAATAGTTTCAACGAATTGATTTAGTAAACAATATCGATTTTTTTAAAACCGTTACTCAGATATCTCCATTAAGCGATGTCGAACTACTAAGCGTCTTTAACACCTCTGTTTCCGACAGTACCAAGGTGCCGTTAGAACGAGACGCAAGTGTGTTGGAAATAACTGTAATAATATTTGGGCACATCGACTTTTAACTAACCAGATTGCTGAGTGAAACCTCCATATTTTGTGCAACAAACAGTAAGATTTTAATATAAACTTTATCTATTTAAACAATTGCTGATGTCAACCTTTTTTAATATTCCGAGGTTACCTTAAAGTACCCTTTTTAATGGATATTGTTTTTGTAATACTACGTTTTTTGTCTTGAAGCTGGCCTGAATAGTTATATTTCGTTTAACTAGGAACGTGTCTGTTATTTAGCCACCTAATACAGTCCGTTACGATTATCAAGAATCTGTTTTCAGTACCTCTCTATATCAGGTATAGGTAATCTTTGGTTTAAAGTTCTTATACTTAAATGTATTTTTTTACAAACTTAATAACTGACGCAGTAAACTTCGAACAAAACACTATTTTAAACTTTTTTTGTCACATTTGTGTAGATTATATAAACGATATTTTACGTGTTAATATTATTTATAAACTACGGAATATTTTATGAATTATATTATATTGACAGTCTCGCTGGTCTAGCTGTTTACCACACTGTTTTACTTGCAATGGTCGCATATTCGATTCCTCGCATGTTGTAAACATTTATATTCATGAGTATAATTGTTTGTATCGGTCTGGGTGTTTTCTTATATTAAGTATGTATTTACAGAAAATAGTTTCTAAGTATTTATATCAGTCAGTAAGTATCTTGTCTATTACCCATAACACAAGTTCTACTTACCGTGGGACTAGATGGCGCTGTTAATTGTCCAGAGTTATTTACTATGATTATTTCTTATTCTCCTAATTATCGTTTTGTGTATTTTATTTTTAGTAACACTAACACTAAATGATGGATGAAATAAGGCTTTTTTTATATATATTACGCTCTTGCTTTCCACAGATTATTAAGTCCATGCCCTTTTGTCTTTAGTTTTAGAAACTTGTTTTTTTTTCTCTTCTTTCTTTCACCTTCTCCACGAAAATATTATATTAAGTATGTTTGTGGTAGGACAAAAATAACTAGCAGACACTCTTCAAAGAGAAGTCTTTACATAAGACCGTTTGAAAAATCTAAATTAATAAGATGATTCTTATGTAAATTTTTGAAGATATATTTATATATTAACGTTTCAAGGTCATCAGCTCTTTTGTTAACTTTAAAGAACTTAAAATTTTTATTGTTATATGTCTTTTCTCATTGATCTGATACATATATGATTTTTATTTGAATGAATTAACACTAGTGTTCCACATATCTTATTGCAGACATCAAGGGTCGTACCAAAACATTAGTAATAAAGTTTTTATGTTTAATTTATAATAATAACTGTACTTCAAAGATAAGTCTTAAACATAAGACCGTTTGAAAAATAAATTAATAATTTATCTAAATTATATATATATTACTTTCACGTTGATTACTTATCTTGATAAGCAATCGTTAACAGTCTCTCATTGATAGTAACAAGCTGAATGAATCCTTAACACGTGTCCGATTTCTTTATTAATAAGGGGCGTACCAAAACATTAGTAATAAAACTGTTTAATTATAATAATAATCTGTACTAGAAAGTTTAAAAATAAATACTTTGCAATAAATTAATACATTTATCGATATATAATTTACTACTTGATTACTTATCTTGTTTACTCCTTGGCATTTTATTCGAAGTATATAATAATAATAATCCTCATTAATGCTGCACAACTGATAGAAATACATAAACACATTATTTTTGTAAATACATATGTAATGAACATAGAAAACAACTAGATCCAAAAAATCGTACACAGGACTATGTATAGTAAATATTTAAATCGTGCGAGAAAGCAAACCTCTGATTATCGGACTTAATAACTAATGTTGCTTAAAAACTAAAACTTATATTTTTGTACAATAACTACACTCGATGAAATATTGTGATCCGATAAGGCATCTAAAATTAACGTTTCGCATTTGGCAGATTTTCTTTAAATAAGTACCTACGTTTTAGAATTACACGTAACTGTAAAACTCTATTTTCACCATAAAAGGACTTCTCTAGCTCATTTTTATGGCGAAAAAACTGAGACAGCTTTATTTTAATCCTGGAGACTAAATTGACAGGTGTAAATATAAATTTTGTTCAACTTTTTAAGGAAATAGTAAAAAGTTTAGTCGACATCACAGAAGACCGAAGAGCTGGCAGCTACCTCGGACAAAGAATTAGTCTAGCAATTCAAAGGGGGAACGCTGCCAGCATCTTCGGAACCTTGCCTAAAGGGCCTTTTAATAATATATTTTAGTTATTAAATTATATTTTTTAAGGTTTCTAATTTTAGGTTCTTTGCTGTAAAATGTTCAAATAATGTTACCACCTATAGCGGGGTAGTGGTGCATCTGCGATGCCGATTTGTTAAATCGATTTTTTTTATTTTAACCTAATACTTTTAAAACTTTATTAAGAGGTTTGGGCTATTGCTCATTGTGACAGAGACCTGTAGCATCTATATAGATCTATCGAGATCGCCATACACTGCTTTTACACTATGATGGAATTGACAGACGACCGTGTACCAAAGCTATTAAAAAAAATGTATAATATGTTATCATATGTAGGCACTGATTGTTTTCTTATCAAATGATTATAGATAGAATGTAAAATTCTTAAATAATAATCGTAATCACTAAGGACGCAGTGATAATAATTATAAAAATCCGTAACGACAGCAATTATCTTTGGCCTCTGAATCAGCTGTTAGGTATGTAGGTATTTGTTAAAGTAATATAATGGCGTTGACTTACGCTAACTCTCTTGTCAGGTTGACCTCCACACGGAACACACTGTCCCTTAGAAACAGTGTTTTGGTGACCGACCGCCGCAAGCTCTTTTGTTATTTTATTATTTTTAAATTTATATTTTTAGAACAGTTATAGTTTTGGTACATTTCAATTATTGCAACATTGTCTTTTATATAGTTGGCAAATGTATATCAGTATATTTTATTACCATAATCTACGTGTTTTCATCATTTAGACACCAATAGCGTGCACCGATCCGTTAAACATGATTATTTCGCCGTACATTTGTGTTCTGTTTAGATTTACTTAATTAGACATTGTAAAGTTGTCCCTGTTGGGACCTCAGTCTCACTTACTTCAGTCGTCAAGGAGATGGCTTTGCTTGTTTTGATAGAAGGTTAAGGATAAGGCAGTAAACTTACAGGGTATGGAGTCTTTATGATGAAACAAATGTACCTAAGTATTTATATCTGTTAAACCTGTAATAAGAATCACTGGCAGTTTTATATATAAAACTGTAAAAATATCTTTTATCCATATTCAAAATATGATGTTCTTTTTTTAATATGAATCATTTTGTTTTATACGCTTCTGTCGCTGCGCTTTGCTATAATAATCGTCTCTACAAGCAACTCTCTATTATTTTCATTTATTCTTACTATATCAGTTGTCCAAGCTAAACTTAGCTTTTGTTATGGTGGTTAGTTGTCTGGTTTTATTATGTCTTACGTCCTCCGGAATGGTAATTGCTAAATGAACTATAATTCATGGTAAGATATAACCGCAGGTTGTCGGGCATTGTTCCATTCATATTCCTCTACAAAAGATAATCTGATAATCCATATTAGAATAAATATTAGTTCTTTTTCGATGAGGCTTTGATTGAAACTCAGCGCTGTGCAGCATACGTGTAAACGTTACACTCAAGCAATAGCTGAGTCAGCCCCTTTTACATAGAATATCTCGTATGCTGTTTGTGTTCATTTGTTTACCAGATACTGTGTATAGTAGCGGAAGTTCATTTTGTTTTGTTCTCGTTAATTAAACGGTGTATGCATGGAATTGTATGATTCTGATTTTTTCTGACAATAAATATTTCATTCCCTGTTTTAAATCGCATTTGCATGTAGAGGGTTGCCACTGGTATCTTCGAATAAAATTAGTTTAAAAAAATATTCATAGTCACGTCCATATCTTTCTATTTAATCGAATATAACTTTATTGTACTATTTACCCTTGTATATTACTGTACTACAAAAACTGTAAAAACAAATGTATCAATTTTTGAAAATATAGTCCAAGATTTTGTAAGATTTTTTTTTCAATAACATGACAGATAAGATATAATAATTATGTATATAAACTATACAGTTAGAAGTTATGTACAAATAAAATTGTTTACATGCGTCCGTCTGCTGCCTTATAAAGAATACATAATAATAATAATATCAAAATATACAGAATTGCTAACCAATATAATCGGATTTAAGATAACAATAATCCCAAGTATCGTACTCTCAACTTCAAGTGTCATACCAAGACTAATTATTACTATTAATATATAATTGTAATACTGCATAGGACATTAATATTAAATTATAATTGTAGTATATATATAGTCTGGCATAATTAATATTGTTCATAACGTACTCTGTGCATTTGACAGAGCCTGACTGTAAAAATAGCGGGAACGGCCTATATAAATGTGAAGCGCAATTTAGCATTTTATTTATTTAAATACAGTACAAATTGGAGACGAATAATAATTATAATAATAACGATAATATTATAGATTATTTAATTTTAATGTACTCAAAATTTGCAGGCCTGTAAATTGGGACAATTAAACAATTGCCATTAATATTATTACCTGGACATATTACCGAATATCTAACTATATAATACGCAAATAAATTTCATTTCATTTCATTTCAACAGATGCATCAATGAATAAATACCCTAAACTTGCCACCTAGTATATACTGCCAACTACAGAAGGCTGTAATTCAAAATACATTCCGCATAGTTAGAAAATTCGTTCAAACTGGTCAGGATTATATTCATTGATGTAAAAACATAACATAGAGCAACACGTAAGGTTCTTGCTCATTCCTGTGATAATTCCGCGTTCCGAATTAGTGGTAGAAAAAAAATGTGACTTCAAAAGTGCTTATATTAAGATTATTTGAATAAAGATTATGTCTATTCTTTATTATGTACTTTGCTTAAGTCCGTATATAGCAAAAATACCGGTGAATGACGAGTAAAAAGAAAACTTTTTATACTTACGTACTAATATCAAGTACTTTATACAAGTTCGGAAGACAAAAGAAATAATGTGAAACAACGTTATCATACTCGTATTTTGAAGTACAGTAAATCATATGACCACTTAACATAGTTTTAGATAAAATAATTAAATTATAACTAGTATGTTATTCATACACATAACGTAACATATAGATAAACATACAACACTGATTGAATCGTAATACAATATTATTATAACTCAAATTGTAATAACTAACAATTATAGATTAAGTAGCTCATTGTATATAATTATAAATCATATTTGATTTGATTATAATATTGTACTGCATTTTATATTCTATAGGTCAGATGATATCAAAGATGCATATTGGGAACAGCAACCTACTTGCTTCTTTTGTGTGAATGTAATAATTAGTTTAAAATGAAGCTCTGAGAATCGCTTCTGCTGTCTATTTACTTTGATCCTATAAACTACGCAACGGATTTTAATGGCAGTTTTTATCAATAGATAGATTGATTCAAGAGAAAAGTTTATATGTATAATACATGTGCACCCGTGCGAAGCCGGGACGTGTAGTTAGTACTTTATAATATACTACATTTTATGCACTTGTATTCTCTGCACAATATTTAAATTATGTTAAATTGTATAATTTCTCAAGTTCTGACAAGTTCATTTGCCCATATTGTACTGTCGTCTTTATGTAAACAAGTTAACGGCCCATCTAATTGATAATAGCAACTGACACCCATAGATATAAACAGCGTATGGTTATGCGACAACTAAGTTAACATACTCTGTAATTTCAGCTCTTTATTTCACACTTCAACCGTAACTATGAAGCACGGTGCTCGGCGGTTGTAATACTTGAGACATTACTCACAAATACAATAAAATTTACCATATTAAACTCGTGCAAATATAGATCTTAGTAGATACATATATATAATAATACAAATTTTGATGTTTACGAGCCTATTTCTAGAATTTTCATTTCACTGCACGTTATTCATGATCGAATCATGTTTCGCAAAAGATTTCAACATAATCCCATAAAGGCATTAACTCGTTTAACAAAGGAGAACATTATGTGAGCGTTTAACAATTACATACATGGTATTTCACGAAAATGATCATATATTTTTGTACTTGTCTGTCCATCAATATGCCTATTTAAATATCATTATTCATTATTCGTGTTGGTTCGCCTTGAACGTAACAAAACGGAATTAATTAGTAACTTACACCAATATTAATATAAGTATTTTGTTTCTTCCAGGTGCCCGGTGCTAAAATCGCTTTACAACACAACTTGGGTCTCGGTGGAGCAGTCGTCATCGCCATGTACCGCAAAGGATTCACCAATGTCAGCCCCAACAATGTGGCTGCCATCGCTAGCAGTCCCGAGGACTTCAAAGTCTTCAAATATATGAAGCTCTTGGAAGAACAAATGCAAGACGATGAGGATAACCTAATCGAGAAGGTGCGCGGCATCTACGGATTCAAAGTGAGGAATGGACCCAACGGGCTAGAAGGATATTGGGTCATCAACGCTAAAGAAGGCAAGGGGAAAGTTACGTACAACGGTACAGAGAAACCCGATGTTACCTTCACAATTAACGACGAAGATGTAGCTGATCTGATTTCTGGAAAACTCAACCCTCAGAAGGCGTTCTTCCAAGGCAAAGTTAAGGTGCAAGGCAATATGGGGTTGGCCATGAAATTGACAGATTTACAACGGCACGCGGCCGGCAGAATCGAAAAGCTGCGATCCAAATTGTAAATGTTTAAATGTAGATATAGGTATAAAATGGATTACTTCTTGGTTATGGAACTGAGGTATGGGGTGGTTTAGACTTATTTCTTTAGATCCTCAAGGAGCTTAGCGCCTTGTGTTATTTTCTTAATTTATAATATGGAATAGTTATATTTTATAGCTCTCACTTACTGTACTTTAGTGCTGTAGGGGCTCAATTTCTCTGTCTAAGGTAAATAGTTCTATATTGTTATTTTATGTTAATATACTCTTTTCTCTATACCATTCCAATGTATATTTTATCAATGGCATTAATATTTTTATTATACAGTTTTATATAAAATATATATTTGATTTTTATTTCTCCTGTTCTCTGTAAGTATATAAGGAGTACCGAACATATATACTGAAGATATATAGTAATTACCAAACTTAATTATGTATATCAGTGTAATCACAGATGGTATGGTTAGAATAATTGTCAACTGTCGATGGTGAATGTTTGACATTTCATTTGTATAAGGAGCTATCTGTTAGTTAGTTTACACGTTAACTTAGGGGAGGGGGTGACAAATCGTGAAATTATATGTCATGTTTGATCCGAATGAGCGGTAGAATAAAAAAAATGTCAGAGGCGGGTTTCTGGACTTGTATCTTAATTTAGGGTTATCCCCAATCAATTTTCATACAATAACAGATACATATTGATAATACAAAACAAATAGTTAGGCAAATAGTTTAACAGGACACATATTCTGAGAACAAAGATGTAGATTTGTTATGTGTATACACGCACACATTGATATATTCTATCGCATATGTTCAACAGGGATAGGATTATATTGGAAAAATATTTTTTAAATCGGTCCAGTGGTTTCAGAATCTGTAAACGAACACTGAAGACTTTCCTCTTTATAATAATATCCCAGAATACAACACAGAGCCAGTCTGAGTCACAACAGAGTCCCAAGCTAAGCAGAGCTTGTGTCATGGGTACTAGGCAACTGATATTAATACATAGTTTTTTTCTTAATACTCAATATACATAGAAAATACTCAGACCGATACAAATAATCATAATCATGAATACAAATGTTTTAAATAAACCATCGGAAGAAAGTGGTGTTTGAACCATACCGAGTCTTATAATATTAGTATAGACAAACATACCAGGGTTGACACCGTAATTTCTGATGAATGTTAACAGTAGGTAATAGGATGATTATGAGTAAAGGCGCCTTGAGGGAGAGAAAGGGATTGTCAGTAAAGTGAACTAATAGTTATATTCAGGGTTGTAGGAGATTCTTAGTAATCTTTGTCCAAAACCCCTGACCTGTCAGCATGACCTCCACGCGGTTCCCCCTGGAAACCATCGTGATGAATTCCTGGTGAATGTCATGATGGCCTAACTTACCTAACTCCATGCTCATCCTATCATTCTCCATTGGTGCCTCGCCAGCGTAAACCGCGCAGGCTACTGTATCATTCCATTACCATCCACTAAAAAAAAAATAGCACCTTGAATTGGGGAAAAAGGGGTTGTTAGTAATGTGAATTAATTACACCATCTCTAGCAATGTATCAAGTCAGAACCTCCACGCGTTTCTCTCTAGAAACCATCTATGAATTCCTGGTAAATTTGTCACGGGGGGCTAACTTGGGGCTTTGGGCTAACTAAACTGACTTCATGCTCATGCTATCTTCCTCCACTGGTGTACCCCTAGCATGAACTGTCAGCGCTGGCAATGCATGGTGCACGCATCCTTAAAAAAAATAACGTCTTGATTGGGCACCATGTCATTTATGAGTACGTAAGACATGAAATAATTGTAAATATCTTATAGACTAGCATACATATGAATAATATTGAAATTAATATAAGATATATAAATATAAATTGTCTGTGTGGTCACGGCACTGATGACGGCAATCCGCAGTAGCGCCTATACACCACCCTATTCGGCCAGTAGTACTTCATGAAGTTGCTCTTTATGGTACAGGGCCCACGCACAACAGCCCAGACCCCCTCTTATCGATCCTCCATGAAATTCAAACGGGGATCGAAATTACGACGCCCTGAGCCGAGGGTCGAACCCCTAGCAGTGCCCTTAGACTAAAGTCGTATCCGTCAGGCGGTGTTGGCCTTCAGCCACTGCATGAACGCCCCCTCTCGTCCGATAAAGCTGTAAAGGCCAGCTGCGGCCAATTACGGACAAAAAACGGACAGCCCATATGAGTGACTAAATGTGGAGAATACACTCTGTATTATTACATGGTACAGGGACATCTTCATAGATAACAATACTAAACTGTGTAAGCAATACAGACACATGCAGTCTGTACTGCTTACACATTCAACTGGTGTTTACAATTTCCAACAAAGATTAACGAGAGTTAAAATTATGAGATGACACGCAGTTTTTTTATTGTCTCCCAAATTTGACCTCAGTAGCCTAAACTCTGGGACGGATCAGTAAAGAGGCCACAGTGCAGTCCAGTACATACTTCTCCGTCCATCTGTACCGTCTGTTTATTCAATAATATTCTCTTATCTGTGGTTATTCTGAGTTTATTTTACAATTATAGGCATAGGAAATCTTCCAGACAATACAATAGACGTATATAAACATTATTATGCTAATAACAAGTTTTCATAGACAGTTATAAAATCAGTAATTATCTTAAAGGTTATCATTCAGACGGTGCGGTAAGATATTGCAATTATTGTAACGTCAAAGCAGTTTATCGTCTAATAATTGTTTAATTTTTAGCAATAACAATAATCGTTACCTAATTATAAAGAAAAACATCGACAACTCTCTCAGCGTTATATTTTCCCAAACTATAAAGCTTTAGCTCCTTAAGGTATAGCTATAAGTACTGATCTTCATTATTTGTTGTGTGACTAACCCCTCCAACAAGTACACCTCAAACAGATGACTAAGTTGTTATGCCATAGACTTGTAATTTCCCTGCCAATAGCATTTGATATTTTGCTGTGTTTCGTATCATGTTGAAGTCGTGGTGCGTGTAGAGCCGAGACTACTAAAGTAACCAACGAATCTCATAAGAAGCTCTGCACTCCTAGTGTCTTCACAGGTTTCACGAAGCGACCTCACCGTTTGGAAGATTTGTGAACGCTGTGTGGCCACTGGTTTCCAGGTTCACTGACTTGACTTCAAAGCAGCCCCGGCATACAGGACAGTCTGTATATACTAAATACCTATTGTACTTACATCAAGTTCAGAATATTTTGTTGTTCAAAACCAGTCAGGCGCTAAGTATATTTAAAAATGTCATAGTCATGTTTACTGTTAGGTAGCACGGATACAACATTTTCATTGTGGGTGATAATAGTACAAATAATCCGCCTCTGTTATTATATGCTGGCGAGATACCAGTGGAAGATGATAGGAGTTGAGTTCAACTTAAAATGGAATTCTGCTAATAGTGTTGTTCTGTATATAGGCGGCGGCTATCGTATACGATCAGGTCGGCTGTCACCTCGTTTGGTATTTCATTAAAAAAAAAGCCTATTACTTTTTAAAAACATTTGTAAAAAAAGTTTTGCTAAATCAGACAGGCTTTTAAAAAATATAGGTTACCAAATAAAACAAGCATTTGGAAATCATTTCATTTTATTGCTCCACAAGGTACTTATAAGCTTTATAATTATATTCAAGTAAAAACACACTTCGAAACCACATGTTACGAACATGTGTGTGCATAACAGAACATTTACTTTAACCTTACAATTCTAATCTATCAGGTACAATATCATACAATCTGCAGACAAACTTTAGAACGTCTTCGAATCGACGCCAAATGAAATGAGAATGGTAAACAAACTGACCGTCCTCTTGGTAATGGTAAACATATATGAGCAACATTATGGTAATCATAAGATACTTTGTGATGCTCATATTTCTGATACCTGAGGACCAAATTGTTATGCCTCCGTCATGGTATTAAAATTTAATTTAAAATCAAATCTTTCAGAAATGTTAATAAAGAATATATCTATAAAATAAATCTTCAATAATTCCAAAGATAAGGATTTTATACGATTTATATGACGCCATTTCGTTTGAGCCGTATTCGATTTGGTCGAAAAGTTGCTGCTGTTTTTGTCACCGTTTATTTTGTATTAATCCAATGAACATACGTAGAGAGGAATGTTACGTTGGATTTTAGTTGTTATATTTAGCAACACAATATATTTTCTGATATAAACACACACAATTCATAATCAAGCTGGTATTATAGCCGCAAAAAATCTAATGACCAAATTTTAATGCGTTGCAGTGAAATTACACGTAGAGATGTTTGCGAAATGCAAAACAAATGAACTTCTTAGACAGTATGTCAAAATTAAAACAATCTTGGACATACAAAGTAGCGCCATCTAGCGTTAAATTGAGAAAAGCTATGGGTGCAAGACAAATCAACCGATGCGTGTACTGAATACTTTTTTAATGAATATAGAAAACACGCAAATAGAGCAATGTAAAGAACCATTGAATTTCTTCTTTTACGCTGCTCTGGGCATTTTACAATAGTCAATAGGTTAGAAAATAATGTAAGACCCCCATTCAGTCATCAATATTGAGACAAAATATTTATGTAGTGGTGTGCACAAAATTATATATTTTTGTTTTGCATTTATTGTTCAACTTAAACAATATTGTTATTATTCATTACCTAATTTCATTAACAATATTCGCATAACAAAATTAACGCAAGGCGTTTAGCAAACTGATAATCGATGCCATTTTACTGCAATGAATTATTTGGACTGTAACTATCTATTTGATACAAACAAAGTGTTCACTTTATGAACATAAAACATTGTTATTGCCTCGAGGCATACAGTGACTACTAAACTTGGGCAAGACTTCCCTATTATTATACATTGTAAGGAATTGTACGCGAATTTTTAATATGTATTAAAAAGTAAATGCATTTTATATGCTCAATAAAAGTTCTATAATTAAAGGTGCACGGTCAATTATAATTTAGATGCATTCATTACTAGTGAGCAGACGTTTGGAGCTTTCAAAATTTATACATCACTAAACTGTTTTTTTTATAATTGCTTCATATTTTTTATCACACATTTGTTTCACAACATCTTGTGAAACAAATGTCACAACTACTTTTCGCGCCAAAATGCAAACATGGCGTTTTGTGACACGTATTTTGGTAGAAACGAGATGTTAGTAGTAGTTCTACAGTTTTTTTTTATTTTTAATATACCTAGGTCCGTCATATGTACATCTTTAGCTATCTACGTAAGAGTACCTAGACAGGTAAAGATATATTGATTATACGCCTTTGTTAAATTAGT